GTTGTAGTGAGCTCAGATGTGACCCATATCTCTTATTTTTGAACGTGAAAATTCTTTTCTTTTTGCTTTTTCCCCCAAATCAGACCCAGATCTTTTTCCAGTGTGGAGCAAAATCAGATAAATATTCAATGTTTTTCAAAGYGACCTCAGTCTGAATGGTCACATCTCATTTCATCTGACTTTTACAGCACTGAAGGGAGTCACACAGTTTAAAGCCTGGAACTCAGCATGTCTTCAGCTACAAAACAGGAGCCCAGTCTTTTAACCCTCGTAGGATCCTAACAKTCTGTTTACTCCCTTTGTCCTAAAAAAATGACCCGCTCAACCAAAACCCCAAAATAAAGCAGCTTAGTTGAATTTTAAATCCCAAATCTATTTTGCATGTTGAAACAACTTGTTATTTATTAATTCAACTCAATTTTTTAGTTTTTTTATCATGTATTTTATGTTAAACAATACAAAAAGACAATCACTCTCTGATGGCTGCCAGTTTGTCTTTCACTCACCTTGCTGGTCTGGACTCACGGTTGTCAAATCTCAGCATTCTTGAGAAAGTGCGAAAGATTTTTAGTGGCATGAAAAATTGCCCTTCCACTCTCTGCATCCCAGAGACTATAGGCCGCCCTGCCACAGGACCTACATACACCTGCTCATATCAAAAGTCCCATGTACGTATCCCCTCAGTCATTCTCATCTATATTTTTTCCAGTTTTCTCCATATTTTCAGGAAACCCTCAACATTCATATTCTCCAGGATGATTTTTTTTCAAAGGCTGATGTGATGATCAGGAGAAAGGTGGATGAAATGTCCTGGACATGGACAGCTGAATACATTGTTGGCCCAGAYATCATCCTTATGATGGTTGATGGTGCTGTTCTTCCCTGGTTGCTGTCTGAATTAGATGAGAACCATGCAATATTGTCACTCTTTTACAAAAAAAGTCTGTCAGCTTGAGGGATGTCCTCTTCTTCATCATCTGAAGATACRTCCTCCTCTGGGTTGCATTCCTCCTCATCTTCTTCATCTGAAGATGCATCTTCATTCTCTTGTTCCCCCTGAGCTCTTGAAAATATCCCATCATCAGGACCTGTTCAGCAGTGAAACATCTACGCTTGGCTTCATCAACCAACTATGGTACCTTTTATATCCTCTGTACTGAATTTGTTTTTATAACGTCTGAGATTGTTTTGTTTTTTTTATTGAAAATGTTTGTTTTGTTCAGGAGCTTGTGTGATGTGAGAGGTTAGCTGTGGATCAAGAGCACAGGTGCAGGTCAAATGCAAGTTCCAGTTTCTTTGATGTGTGTGTGTGTGGGTGTGTGTGTGTGTATAGGCACGTTTTTGCTACATCATGCAGACCATTTTTCTTAAAAAGTTAGCCTCGTGGGGACCGAAAATGCGTTGTGAGGACTAGGCATTGGTC